CCATTAGGTTCAGGTTATTTGATGCGCCCTGGGAGGGTGAGGGAGGAGGAGAAACAGTGAGGGAGTGAGTGAAGGAACAAAAGGACTATAATTCCATCAACCGATCGTCCATAAATTGTCCATCTCATAAGAGTCAGGTTGTTAGACGCTCCCTGGTGAGAGGAAAAGGAGGTCAGGAGCGAGAATGGGGATGAGGAGAAGAGTGAAGAACAACAGTCGAAGCTAGTCAAAAATACTGGAATAGTGAGGTACATAAGCAAAAAAGCAGCTTGGTGGGGAGAGGCGGCGAAGGAATGGAAGTGAAGAAGGAGAGGTATGAACGACCTGCACACTTGGAAAAAAAAATGTAACTGCACACATATTAAACTGCAGGACTCATCCAAATTTGTTGCCACATGGGGTTGGTTGCAGCACATGCTGCACGGTGGGAGGGAAGGATCGCACAGCACATGTACACCCTGGCTTAGGTCCAACCCAAGCCCACTGAATGCCCTGAACGATGGGGAAGCATGGTCCCAACCACCAGTCCATCTTGCCTCGTTGCCCTGCCCACTCTAAGCCCACTACATTGATACCTATGAGAGAATGAACTGTTTCAGTGCAGGCATGGTAAGCGCGTCAGAGCATGCCCTGCACGGTGGGGAAGCGCGGGTCGTCCCAGCCGGTGACACGTCCGTTGTCCACGAACCACGCGAGCTTGCGCTTGGACAGCAGCGTGTAGATGAAGTTGAGTCGCGAGAAGTCCCACACCTCCACCCGCCGCAGTCCCATGTCCTGGCATTGGTGCATTGCACAAGAGGAAGTAATATGGATCAAGGAGTGTCCTAAGGGAAGAGGGTGCCGTGCAATCGGAAAGCAGGTGGAGATGGCTGGAGAGCACATTGGTATGGCAGCGTATGCACGCATGGAGCTTTGAAAAAGAACATCCCTTCACATGTCAAAGACCAAGACCATGCCATTGAGATGAAGGCGGAAAGAAGGTGGGAGGAGGAAGGGTTCCAACGAGCTTTGCTAGAAAGACCAGAGTTCAGATGATGGAGATCTTTCCAGATGCTGGATAACAAGGACACCGATTATAAACGTAGAAATCTACATGCAGGATCAATGCCACTCCTTGCTTCTCATTGCCACTCCCCACCGCTCATTACCTCCTCCCACCCCTCCCCTCCCCACCGCTCATTACCTCCTCCCACCCCCACCCCTCCCCACCGCTCATTACCTCCTCCCACCCCTCCCCACCACTCTACACACCTCCAGTACGCGGTAGTACTCCTCGTTACGGTCGTGGTATTTACTGGAGCGCAGAGCGTGGGTGACGCCCTCTATGCTGTCCACACAGGGGCACGCAAAGTCATAGGTGGGGTATGCCTTGTACTTGGTGCCCGTGCGCAGATGGGGCTGACCTGACGTGTCCACTCTGAAATACACTGGATCACGCAGGGTCTTGTTCACTGCCGGGGGGGGTGGGGAGGAGGAGATAGGCGGAAGGGAATAGGAGGAAGAGCAGGAAGAGAGAGAAGAGGAGAGACGGGAAGAGGAAGAAGATTGAGGGATTGAGTGACGCTGGAGTTGACTCAGAATCGACCAGACTCCCAATGGTGTCCACATTTTATCGTAAAGCTCGTGCAGGCTCTGGAAAGCGAGTGGGTGTCGGCGAATCTCCACCATTGGATCGACCTGATCTTCGGATACAAGCAGCGAGGCAAGGTGCTGCTACTGCTCTCTCTTGACTCCCCCATAGCCCGGTCATCAGATCATATTTTGTGCCCTTGCATTAGTTTTGAGGCACCTCAAAAGTAGCCCGGTCATCAGATCATATGCCATGCCTTGCTTTATTTGCTGTGGCTATCTCTGCTATCCTCTCACTCGCATCCCCTTAGAAAGGTGAGCGTCTTCTGTTTCATCTCCTCTCGTATGAGGCCGCAGCGGACCTCGACTCACTTAGCAGCTTGAGGTAATCAACTGTTTCACTCTGCTCCCTCACGAGGTGACTTAAGAGTCGACTCAAAATTGACCTCGACTCACTTGGCAGCTTGTGGTAATCAGCTGTTTCACTATGCTCTCTCACTTGGTAGCTTGTGGTAATCAACTGTTTCACTATGCTCTCCCACTCCATCACTCTCTCATTCACTCCGTCCCCCACTAACCCACCAGGCAGCAGAGGAAGCTGACAACCTGTTCCATCCCTTCACCTATGAAGGCGCAGTGAATTTGGACTCGCTCAGCAGCTTGTTTGGTGTGCTCAGTAGTTTTGCATCCTCACTCTCTCTCACTCCAATCCCTCCCTCGCTAAATGCCAGGCAGCAGAGGAGTCAGACAACCTGTTTCATCCCCTCACTTATGAGGGCGCAGTGGACCTCGACTCCCTCAGCAGCTTCGTGGAGAGGAGAGGCTTCGAGATTTAGGTGTGCTGTGGGAAAGCAACTCTGATGTTGAGTGAAACGATCCTGTTTTGGGGCACCTTGTAAATAGGTCGATACAAGTTAAGTCGATTGGAAACTCGTCTCATTTAACATAGATTAGCTGATACAGGTGCCACTTCATACCATATGCCATTTTTTTGCAATCCCTGCTGAACTTACTCAGCCATGTTCCCTCTTTCTCCTCCGCCTTCCCCTCCATACTCCCTCCTATTCTTCTTTTCCCCGAATGCCCTTGTCAGATCAACGTGTTTGGTCAAACGCCAAGGCAGCAGTTCGTCCATCCCCACCCGCAGCGCTCCCCACGCCCCACACCCAGCGTTGAGTCACTGCCCTCCTGTGAGCCGTCCACCTCTGTCCACCTCCTCATGCGCCTCCTACCCCTCCTGTCCTCCGCTGCTGCTGCTGTCCCCTCAACTGCCGCTGCAGCTTCTATGCCTGCTGCGGCTGCTGCTGATGTCTCTAGCAACACTCGTGATGCAAGTGCTAGCCATCTGTCTTCTCGTGCTTCTGGTGCTCCTACCAGCACTGGTGCTGCTCTGGTCAGCAGTGGGCCTGATGCAGCTCTTGCTGCTGATGCTCTCAGTGATGCTGCTTCTGCCACTGATACGGGATGGTCTGCGGATAAAGCAGCAGCACCAGCAGTATCAGCAGCAGCAGCATCAGCCAGTGATGTGGCAGCAGGAGAGGGGCATCAGCACCAGCAGTATCAGCAGCAGCATCTGATGTTGCTATGCCAAGAGCAGGTCCAGGGGCAGCAGATGCGACTCTTGCGAGCTTAGAATTAGCTGAAACAGCCGCAACAGCAAGAGCAGCAGCAACAACAGAACAAACCGCACTGGGAGAAGCAGCATCACTAGAGCCAGCACCACCAGCACCAACGGCTGAGATTACCAGTGCAATGCGCCAGGTCAGCGCCACGTCAGACAGCACAGCTGGAGAGGCTGAGGGCGGAAGCAGCGATGTAGGTGGCATGACAATTAGTGGCGGAATGGCAGAGGAAGACGAGATGGGGAGGCTGAAGGCGCTGCAGGGAGCGGTGGGGCTGGGAAGCTTCAACGCCAGGCGAGCAGCGCAGCGCAGGGGTGCTTTGAGTGCCGCAGGTGCCGCACTCCGTGCAGTGAGTGCTGTGAGTGCGGTTAGTGCTGTGGACACCATTGGATGGGTGAGGTCCACACCAGTGGTGGCAAGAGCAGCAGCGGTGAGAGAGGAAAAGGAGATGGCGGCACTGAGGGAATGGCTGGACGAGGCTGGTGTGGGGCGTGGGGGGGAAGAGCCGCCTGCCTGCTCGCCCCCCTTCTCCCCCACTGCGCCCTTCCCTGCCTTCCAGCCGTCACCTGCAGTGGATTCTTGCTCCGGTGGTAGTAGCACGGGGAAGAGCGAAGGGAGTGGCAAGGGCAGCAGCCACGGGGGCAGCAGGGGAAGCAGCAGAGTGAACGGCAAGGCGAGCGGAGCAGATGGTGGTATAGGCAGCAGCGGGGCGAGCAGCAACGGTGAGATGAGCAGCTTTATCAGCGGCAGTGGCAGCGGGAGGAGGAGGGCGAAAGTGCGGCGAGTGAAGGCACATCGGGGGCCGGTGGTTGCGGTAGCGCTGGCAGAGCATGCAGAGTCACACGAGTTGCTGCTCACCACTGCGGGCGCTGATGGCATGGTGAAGGTGAGGGGCGCTCTTGTTGTGTAGGTGGTGTGAGGTGTGTGTAAGTTACATCGCGGCCCGGTGGTGGCAGTGACGCTGGCAGAGCATGCAGAGTCACGCGACCTGTTGCTCACCACTGCAGGCGTTGATGGCATGGTGAAGGTCAGGGGGAGGTGATAGGCCTGTTGTTGGTATGATGATTCTTAAGAGCAGCTCCAGTACTGCAGAGCATGCAGAATCGCACGACTTGCTGCTCACCTCTGCAGGCGCTGATGGCATGGTGAAGGTGAGGAGGCGATGATGGCATGGTGGTTGTGAGTGAGACTGTGAAGGGGGGATGATGGCATGGTGAAGGTGAGGGGCGCTCTTGGTGTGTAGGTGGTGTGTGTGAGGAGGGTGAAGGCGCATCGCGGCCCGGTGGTGGCAGTGGCGCTGGCAGAGCATGCAGAGTCGCATGACCTGCTGCTTACCACAGCGGGGGCTGACGGCATGGTGAAGGTGAGGGGGAGCACTCATGGCGTACAGTGAGGGGACTTCTTGGCGTGTTGTGTTTGTGGTGTGGAAAGGGTTGGTGGTAGAGGCTGATGGCATGGTGAAGGTGAGGGTACTCATGGCCTGTGGCTGCTATCGCTAACACTCAAAAGCAGCTTCACTACGTCAGAACATGCAGAGTCAGGCGACTTGCTGCTCACCACTGCAGGGTGCTGATCCCATGGTGAAGTGAGCTCGAGTTGATTGCTCTGCACTTTCTAGAGCCCCCCTTTCCCAACTTCTTACCTATCCTTGGATCCTCCTTCCGTGTAATCCGCCCTCCACCAATCAGGTCTTCTCTCGCCCATCCCCCCCTCCTAACATCTTCCTCCGATTCTCTCTCCGCCTCCACCAATCAGGTCTTTCGGTGGAGTCGCAACAGCAGCTGAGGTCAGCGCGCGTTGGCAGCCTCCCATTGGCCAGCATGGCGCTGCTGCCACCCCTTCCCTCCCACTGCTACCCAGTTGAGATTCTTCCCACTTATAACAATTCACTCCTTTTGCCCCTTTTTGAAGGGTACGTCAATACTACTCCCACTGCTCTCTCTCCGCATATTCCTTCTTGAGCGTGCTTCTAGGTATGCTCCTCCCATCTGTCCCTGTCCTAAATGATTCCACACCTCTCTTCTCCCCATGCTGCTTTTCCACGAGCCTTTCTCCTCCTCGGCTCCCCTTCGCTCTGCCTGTACCTTCTGCTGTCACCACTACCAGTCAGTGCTGCTGGGCTCCTCGGACGACCACGTGTGGCTCTACTCGCGCCTGACTTTGGCTGACCTGGCCCAGTACATGCCCTTCCCTCCTCTCCTTGCTCCGATGCCCTCGTTGCACCACCACCTCTCCCACACTCCAGTCTGTGCTGTTGGGCTCATCAGACGACCACGTGTGGCTCTACTCGCCTGACTTTGGCCGATGCCTCTCCAAGGTACTCCTCCCTCCATGCTGCGCTACGCTACCCATCTGCACACACTTGCACCCAATCAGAAACACACACGATGGCCTGGTGTCATGTGTGCAAGTAACCCTATGAACGAGGCTTGCTGTCTCTCTCCTCCCATTCCTTAATCCCCCCTGCTTCTTTCCCCTCCTCCCCTTCCCCCTTGTCCCTTTGCCACCCCCACCCCTCCTCCTCATGCCCACCTATATGCCACATCAGATGCATGCACACGATGACACGATGTCATGCATTCAGGTCAGCCAATGGGGCGCTGACACGTGTCTGGTCACTGCATCATGGGACGGCAGTGTGAAGCAGTGGAGCATGGCGCACTCGCCCTTCCTCTCCGCCTCACCTTTCTCCTCCTCCTCCTTCTCCTCCTCCTCGCCCCACTCCTATGCTGGCTCAGACACTTCAGGTCAGTCCAGCCACAGTCATGCCGATTCCCATAGCGCGCCTAATCCCCTTCGCCTCCTTCGCCTCCTTCTCCTCCTCCTCCCCCCACTCCTATGCTGACTCCGACACTTCAGGTCGGTCCATGCCGCTACAGCAACCCACGATTCCACCTCTCTGTGATGCAGCTCCATCAGATGAGGTTACTCTTAAGTCGACTCGACTTTTGAGTCAACTCAAAAGTCACTACGACTCCCCACGATTCAACCTTTCTGTGATGGGGATCCATCATATGACTAATTCGCGCCTGAACCGCTACCCACTCCTTTGTCTTTCCTTCCTGTCTCCCTTATTGTGCCTTCCGTACACCTTCGTCCTCCTCCCTTCCCATCATTTACTCCCCACCACCAGTCCACCCCCCTCCTCTAGCGGAGCTCAATCAACACGACGCACCAATCACATCGCTCCAAGTGGCCATCCCTGCCACGTCAGCATGGCCCCTTGCTGCCTCAGGGTCAGCCAATGGTGAGAGACTGTTAGCTCAGTGCAGAAACAAATCTAAGTGATGGCAAACGCATTTGGGGTTGTAAGCGCTTGCGTTTAAACATGGAATGCGTTCGCCATCACGTGGGCCTCGAAGGGTATTCAGTCACTCAGGCAGATGTTATCTGACTGACCTTAACTTGAGCTCTCAAACTCCTCCCTGGCATTCTTGCGTGTGCAGTGTGTTTGTCCTCATCTGCGTTTCATGGCGATTTTTTTTTAACCATTTTGTGTGGTTCTAAGTTTCTTGCTTCTTCAATAGTTGCTTTCTTCTTCACGCTTTTGCTCCTGAGGAATCCCCCCTCCTGTATCTCCGTCTACTCACTCTGTCCAACGACCCTTCATTTCCATTTTCATCTCAACTTGGCTCAATGAGTCGATTTGAAATAGCTTACAAGTTAACTCCATTATCTCAACTCCATCCACTCACTCTCCTTCGTACCCCCTGTCACCCCCCTCGCGTCTCTTTTGTTCCCTAAACCCATCTTTGACCCCTTGTCCGCACAATCTCCCCCCACCCTTCATAATCTTCTCTCCCATCCCCCCCCCCGCTCTCTCCGTTCTATGCACTGTGTTGATGTGGGACATGCGAGCACCCCCCTCGGCATCTGTACCCTGGAGCTGCCGCCTCTCCCCTCTCACCACCACGATCGCCATCATAATTCCCTCTCCCACTTTCACTCCCACAATGCTCCCTGCCCCTCCTTCAGGCGCCGTGTTGCTGTGGGACATGCGAGCGCCCCCCTCGGCATCTGTTCCCTGGAGGTGCCGCCTCTCCCCACTCACCACCGCCGCTTCCACGTCTCCACTGGCAGTGACAGGGCTGGTGTTCTCAAATGGGGGTCTGTACGTCACTGCTGCTGACTCCACAGGGGGGCTCAGAGTACTGGAGGTGAGGCTTTAGGGGCTTTAAGGCTCAGAGTGATAGGTCTAATGTTCTTAAAGCCCCTCAGAGTGACAGGGCTACTGTTCTTAAATAGTAGCGCAACTCCTCACAGATGTTGACTCCACAAAGAGTCTCACAGTGCTCGAAGGGCTTTAAGGGCCAGTCGTTTCTTACAGGGAAAATGCACTGTGCCACTGCTGCACCTTGTTAGAATTAGGCTGTCAACATTTTGTGTACTATATTTTTATATCGGCATAGGTTACAAGCGGGTTGGGTATAGTTTGTAATCCCAACCCTATCTGGTTGGGATTCCCTCGTAATCCTGCAAATCTGCCAACTCACCAATTGGAGATTTGCTAGGATTCCCATCCCATCCTTTCCCTAGCCTTTCCCAACCCAACCTCGTTTGTACTTAAGGCCTAGTGCCTTCTTTACTAATCAATCAGTTGAGCTCCTTTTCTATCACACCCCACCCACCCCATCATGCTTACAACGCAGTAAGCTTATCCTCTACTCATCCCATCCTCCCCCCTCCTCCTCTGCCACCTGGCTCTCAACATCAGATGCGCATGGGCGGTGCTGAGCTGGCGTCTCAGCACTGTCCAGGTGGCGGTCTCACGTGCTGCTAGCCTCTTGGCGATCAGTCCATCCTCGCTGGCAGGTGAGGAGAGGAGGGTGGCAGGTGAGGAGAGGAGGAAGTTGGACTAAGAAGCATCTTGGCATCGTGTCATAAGTTCCACGGTCTACAGGAGCTCTCACCAACCTATCTCACAGATTCCAAATGACATCACATCATGTTCTTCTCTCCTCTCTTAGTTCTTGGGACCACTGTTAGGCCTCTTGCCTCGTCTTCCCTTCTCACTCCGGCATTCGATCTCTTGCCTCATGGTCCATCCAATACTCCTTTGAACAATCCCCCGATGTACCACCTTCCCCTTCCCCTGCCTTCCTCCTTTCAGTGATTCGGGCGACATTATTGCCTGGGCGTGGGCATCTAAGCTTGAATCCCTTGACCCTCATTCTAATGGAGCCATGCGCCACTTCGCAAGGGACCACGGAGGCCTCTCTGGGGGTGTAGTAGGGCAGCAGCACGGTGTACAGTCTTCACCAAAAAGAGCTCAAGCCTTGAGCTTCTTTTCTGTGCCGATTAGTTCGTCTCGTGTGTCTTCTCTTGTTTCTGCAAGTGGTGTGAATAACTCGAGGGTGATAGTTGCGGGTTGTGAAGAGGGCTCTGCAAGCGTGGTAGCATAGCATGATATGGCCTGGCGGCATGTTACTACACATACTGTATCTTCCCTACCATTCCCGATATATACCGTAAGACATTGTGGGCGCACCACCTTTTACTACTGTCGGTTGTGAAGAGGGCTCGGCAAGCTTGGTACAGTAGCATGAATTGGCTTGGAATCTGAGACATACATTTCTGTGTCAAAATAGTAGCACAATACTTAACATAGCAACCTAGGGTTTAGCTAGGAGGCTTAGGTGAGGGGAGCTAAGCAAGAGAGATGGCACAAAGAGGGTTTGCACTCTGAAGTGACAAGTACAAATATGTCAAGAACAATGGTGCACCACCAACAATGAAGCAATAGCTACACTACACCTGCGAATGATTATATGAAATATGTAAACATATGTTGACACGCCCCCTTAATTGTTTGCAGGAGTAAGTGTAAAACGCCCCCTTATGGGGTACACCTTGCAGGGTGCACCGGAAGTAGCATGAGTTGGAAGGAGTAGAGGCCAAGTGAGGAGGAGGCGGCTGATGCTGCAGATGGACTCACACCACCCCCTCAACCTCCTCCCCACAGCAGCAACAGCAACAGCAGCAATGAGGAGAGAGAGGAGGAGACATGGGGGCAGTTGCTGCAGTTAAGACACCCTCCCCCCCCCCTTCCTCCCCCCACACCCCCCCCAAAAAATTGCTGCACGCGCAGCAGGGAGAGGGAGGAGGCTGGCGCTGTAGGTGCAGCCTTCCCTTTGTTACAATATGGAATAGTTGAACATTCCTGAGTAACGAATCCTTAACACGAAGATGACTGCAGCGAGGACGAAAGACCAAGCGACAAGACAGTTATCGAAGACAGTTACAAGCAGGAAGAATTCGAGATGAAAAGAGCAGGAAAACTTCAAACGGTTGCCGGACCACGTACGGTTACCGAGCCGCACGGTTTGCCCCCGTGCATCTAGATTAGCCCTAAGTGGAATGTACCCCCTAGAGTACATGGCTAGCTAGGACCTT